CAATCTGTGTAAGGGAGTATATAAACCCCCCAAAGAAACAAGAGACCCGAAAGTGGAAAAAAAAAAAAAAAAAAAAAAAAAAAAAACTAACATTTCAGCACATCATTGATCTCAGATGATTTAACTGTGGTTACAGTTTGGTAGCTTGGTGGAAATGTGCAACTGCAATGAATTTTAAATGAATTGTGATGAAAGTGGGGAAAGAGGCTCAAAACTTTTAACCTATAATTTCACTTTATTGCTTATATAAAATCACTAAAAATTCATGTGAGATTTTGGTGAGACGTATTATTCACCTTGAAATTAAACAAAAATAGATGTCACAAGTTGTATTAATCTGCTTACATTCCACAGATGTTAATTTTTGCAGTTCAGACTCCTTAAACGTTGAGTGTTATTCTAAAACCATAGGTGTGTACTTAAATGAATATGTTTTTTTTACTAATGCTAACCGATTTTGTATTTGAATGTAAGCATAGTGAGATGCACAGTGGGACACTCAACAAGAGCAACAAGGTCTGAATTTTGCGTTTTGAAACTATAGTACTTGCTGCATCATATGTGTAACTTAAAGTTAACCAAAAGTAAAGAAGCGTTTAACTGGGAAATTACTGAAGCAAAAATGTTGTGAATATTCAACCACAAATTAAATCTCTGCCACCAGAAGGCTGGCCTCGTTCCTGGATTGGAAACATCTGGTGTTGTGTCACAGCTAATGACTCCAAAATCTTGCTGAAGAAGGACAAGTCAAAGCTAAAAGGACAGGAACAAGAGGAAAGAATAGCTCACCTGTACTTTGTGTTCTAGAGACATGGCATGTTCACCCTCCCCAGATTCTTTCCTCCCCAGTGCGAGGGCTCTGAGGGCAGCCGAGGTCTAGAGGCACCGGAGTTATTGTAATCTGTCCTGACAAGCTCTGTCTGAGGAGGGCTTTTTTTTTAGTTAAGGAGCTGCGGTCATCTAAGAATGACAACATACGGACAGCCAGTGATCAGTGCATTCTTTTCTCAGTCGGAGTCGTTCCTACCGTTGTGTTTTTGTCTTCCAGGGATGTGGGGCTTTCATGACAGAGACCTGATGCTGAGGAAATCTTTGTACACCATGATGAAAAGTGGAGCAGAGAGAGACGCTCTGAAGAGGAGGTGGAGGTGGCAGCAAACCCAGCAGAACAAGGAGGTTCGCCGAGCGCCCGTCCATGCAAATCAGACACAATGCCACCTCTCCAAATGATACTTTTTAATAAGAGTAGAGCAATAGGTCATTTCCTGAAGACCTCTGGTTAAAGTAATGCTGATTTTTGCTTCCTAACTGAGCCTCACTCAAAATCTGGAAGCAGATTGTCTGTGTTTCTAAATGTATATTAGTGCTGTAGCAGTTCAAGTAATGCTGCCAAATCCTCTGCACCTCCTCTGCCTCCTCCTGTTGCCCTGATGTCGGATTAAAGTTTTTTTTTTTTCCAATCTATGAGAAAAAGTGTGTCACCAAAGATAGCCCAAGCAAAGAAGTTGTCCAGATGTTTATGTTCGAAAATTCCAGTCTTCCAGTCTTCCAGTTGGCCCAGTTATGTAAGACGGATTCCATGAAAGGAGGTGTTCTGGTTTGAGTTTTGGAAGGGACTGCCGTCGCATGGCAGCAGACATTGGCTGGATTCTCACAGCATGTTTAAAAAAACAAACAAAAACAAAACAAAACTGCAGAATCACAATAATTACACAGAAAACACATGTAAAATGCATAACATGATCTTATTTATGTTCAGAAAAATTGAAAACCAATCACTGCTCTGCTGTTAAAAAATACTATTACAGTTAAAATGTTAACTATAACATTTAATTTGTTTTTGACATGTAGAATACAGCAAAATCACCTACTAAAATACAACTGTGGTTTTCAGTTGCTCAATACGCAGATTTTGTTTTTGGTGATCTTTTTATAAGGTAAGCCAGTATAACAAGTTGGTGTTGGGTGGTCAGTTAAATTTTCTCACTAAACGTTTCGGTTCGAAATCAATGAAACTCTCCTCAAATTAAGTTTAATAACTGCACAACAATAAATTATGGTTAGTATTTCAATTTGTTTTGATATTCTGTTCTAAAGTGTGAAATTGCACAAATACCATTTATGTTTTACTCAAGGTAGCCAGAATGTTTTTTTTTTTATCTTTTAAAGTAGTATTGAGTGTTTTCTTTATTTATTTGAATTGATGAAAATGTGGCATTCCATCGTATTTTGGCTTTTATATTTATTACCGATTCAATACCTGATGTGGTTTTTGAGGGCTTTAAATATAATTTAGAGAACCTGGAGAACTATTGATGAGTACCATTTTACTTCTTGAGGGTAAATCGTAAACAAATGGGAGACGGCTCAACACGGTGCTGTATTTCTTCACTTTTTTTTTCATTTTGAAAAATGCACTTAATCTAAAAGAAGCACGCAGTGACTTTGAATTAACAGTTAATTTATGGCAAACTGTAATTTAAATTTCATTGCCGTGTTTTTTTTTTTTTTGTGTGTGCAGTCAGGGCTGGTTTACACAGAAGAAGAATGGGAAAGAGAGTGGAACGAGCTGCTGAAGTTGGCCTCCAGTGAGCCTCGCACTCATCTCAGCAAAAACGGGAACACCAGCGGAGGGTAAGTTAACCAACGCACATGAATGTACAAATCTGAAAATAAAAATTTTCAAAAAAAGGCAGATGCAAATTGAACTCGTCTTCCTCTGCAAAATCACAACGTGAAACGGTGCCACCTACTGGCTTCTTTGTAAGTTCTTTTTTCTGCTCAAAGAGCTCAACCCACCCCCTTCCAACCCTGCCCGTCTTGGGTTTGAGTTACTTTTAGCTGCAGCAGGTTGCACAAATAAACGTAAGAGTGGCTTTTTCTCAAGCTACAGAGGCGGATTGGAAACTCGCTCTGGTTTCCTCCTCCCACGCAGAGAAGCCTTGCGGTTTTTCACCGTGTTTCCATATTCACTGAAATAAACACACATACGCTGTCGCGCTACTTCAGCTCTTCGAGGTAGGCTGCCGATCCGGTGGAACAAGAGAAGACGTGTGACCAACAGAAAGTTTCAGCCGAGATTAAAATGTCATTCAAGTGCATCAAAAAAAATAAAAAATAAAAAATACATTTAACATTTAGGGGAAATTTGATTAGAATGAAATTCTTCTATAGCAGAAACAGCGGTTGGTTTAGATTACGATAAGTGACATTTTTCACTAAAGGCTTTAATGCTACAACAAAAATATTTTTTTTCACTACATGATTACTGAAGCAGACAAAAGACTCCATTGCTGAAAATGTTCCTTTCAGGGGAGCAATTTACTTATTTATTGTGAATGTTTGAACCTCTCATTAAGCTTGACTGTAAGAGAGTAATAAGGTTAGGGATGTTTGATGGTCGTAGTGTGAGATGAGCCTGTGAATGGGCTGAGTGGGATTCACATATTAAGAGGCTCTTTATTAGAGCGAATTTGGCTGTGTGGCTGACAGCTTAATTGTTGCTCATCCCCCGTTTCCCTGGTGGTTGCACACTCAAGAGTGCTGCCTGTGCTTTTTATCCATCTCTCCATCAGCATCCCTTTCTTCCCCCCACCTTCTCCTATTTTATTTAGTTAGCATGACTAGGAAATTATGGATTTTTTGGACCTGTTTGAGCACTGCTTTGAGAAAACGAGGGGCCATGCTCTTTCTGAAAAAATCTGGAAAAGCTTGGAAAAATATTTGTATTTCCAAACTTTATTCTGCGCCTTGAGGCGTTTTTTTTATTTATTTATTTTTTGTTATGCATGTTCCAGGTACGAGCCTCGCTAGTTTTTTTTTTTTAATATCAGCAGTAAATTCAAACTAAAAATATTTTATAGTTTATCACTGTGATTCAAAAAAAAATATTGGGAATTGTGGAAATTGAAGTATGGAGTTTAGACTCTAAAAATCTGTGATGACTGCGGAAAATGAATCAAACATGGGCAGGATCTCTTCTGACTCGTGTAGATCAGTGTGCTGTCATGTTTCGTGTTTTTTTGTTACCCCAGCGTGGATAACTCTGAGGATCCGGTCTACGAGAGTTTGGAGGAGTTCCATGTGTTTGTGCTGGCCCATGTGTTACGCAGGCCGATTGTAGTGGTGGCCGACACGATGCTCAGAGACTCCGGAGGAGAAGGTGGGGGAAACTGTGTAATCATTCAGTCAGTCGTACGTGGCTCAGGGCAAACTGCAAAGGAGTGACCCGGCCATGTTCGAACCTCCTTCGCAGCGTTTGCTCCCATCCCGTTTGGAGGGCTCTATCTGCCTCTGGAAGTGCCTCCGAGCCGCTGTCACTGCTCCCCCCTGGTCCTGGCCTACGATCAGGCTCACTTCTCAGCGCTGGTGTCCATGGAGCAGAGAGACCAGCAGCGAGAACAAGGTAAGCACGCGTCCTCCACCACAAAAAGCTTCTCATAGCAGCGTGGCGGAATTTGCTTTTAACTCTAGCAGGATTGGAGGGTAAAGGGAAGGTTCTGTCTGTCCTGTCTGAGGTGAATAATGTATGAGACGGCAGCCTAATTACCTGAGATCCATTATTAAAAGAGGCCAGTTGGCAGCATCTAGCGGGGGAGGGTCATCGCTGAGGAAACCGGCCAGCTTCGACTCCTGAATGCTGACAAAATTATTCAAGCTTGCAAAAGCTGCCTGCGCTTTTTTGTCTTGACTTGACGTTCCAGCTGCGGGTTGTCACAGTAGGTGTGTCTGTTTATGCGTTTTCCTCGGTCACAGTGGGGAAGAGGTTGCGATGCGGAGCTCTGCAGAACATGTTGATTGTGTTAAGCTGTGGCAGGCGAAGTACACATTTTAATTCCCGTCTCACTTTGTGGAAACACTCTTGTTTTTGCCCATTGGGATCCCTGTGTTCCCGCTCACAGCTTAGCCTCGAGGTCATGGACTTCCTGTAAGTGTCAACAACAGTGGGTCTCCCTGACAACCGGCCTTGCCAGTCACGGCACCCGGTCGTTGTTTCGTGTGGGCTGCTGACGTCTCAGTCTGAGTTTCACTCCAACACAGTATGAGACGTCACCTCGACAACAGACACACTTATGCAAATGGATTCCTTCTTCCTCCTCTGACTGTTCCTGAACTAGTCACTCCTACAAAGCCCCAGAAGAACCTCACCACTCCAGACTAATCAGCACTTTAGTGGGTGTTTTACAGCCAAACGTTGAGGTTCTCTGCTCATCCACCAGATGGTGCATGTGTCCAGACAAAATGGCAGAGCATAATCACAACACCCGTGCGTGGTTGTACTTTTTTCATCCTGGTACACAGTGTCCTCATTCGATAAGATCAGAAAGTCTGCACTCTCTCCAGGATGTTATGAAAACATTTGAACTCTTGACATGGTGCATTTGTATGCCATGTGGCAACTCATGTTACGCAGCAGTGATGGCAGTGATGCAAATCTGCACTGCTTTAAATGAAAGTCTCATGAAAATGCAGGGTGTAGGGTATAACTATAAGATTAAAAAACGTGGCCTTTTGCATTTCCCTGTTTCATCTGAATCAAAAGAAGCAAATTATGGCTCTCTTGTCTGAGCTAATGCCAGACAGACCAGAAGATACTTCACTGTCTGTCCTCAGCAAATCACCTCTCAGCATTAAAGTCCCGGCTGGCTCAGGCCTAAACAGTCAGTCCACTGTGTGGACGTTTCAGGTGGACGGTTGCTGTTAGTTTCCCCTGACTCAGCAAAGAGCATCTAAGAGGGGCTGCTGGTCTGGTGTGTGTTCAGGTGTCGGAAGACTGGAGGTTTCTTCAGGAAGAAAACAGTCTTTGAACCTCATTCTGCTGTACAAAAGTATTCATACCCTTAAACCCTTCCACATTTGTCATGTTAGAGCCACAAACATTAATGCATGTTAATTTGTGATTTTATGTACCAGGCAAACTCGAATTGGAACATTTGCTGAAAGCTATTTCAAGTAAGTTCTAAGGTCCGAACACTGTTTATGCCATCTATGGAATGGGAAGAATATGGTACAATGCTACCAGGACAAAAGGGGTTTGCCTAAAAAAAAGACGTCAGGAACAATTATAACCCAAAAAGCCATTTTTACCCTCTATTTCTAGAGTAATTGCATGTCATGCCATTAAATTCTGCATCACCTCTTGAAAGTTTTAAACTCTCTTAACATCTACTGTCTCACATATGCTTAGTTGTAACTTTACACTGAACATCACTTTGATGTTCACTGTCCCTGCAGTGAAGCATGGTGGAAGGATCATCATGCTGTGGGAAAGAAAAACCTGTTAGAGGCTGCAAAAGATATGATACTGGCTTTGAGGGTCACAAAACTGATGTTCATAGATGTGCTTCATCCATTCTGACTCGACTTAAACTGTTTTGCAGTAAGGAATGAGCATACCCCAAAAACACTTATGGCTGTAACTAGGGTTGCATCGATAAATCTGCCCTGGTTTCCTTGATTCTAGAAGGTCTGCGATCTGCCAACACTTGCATGAGAAACGATTTAATCCACCGATCTTATCTACCTCGGCAAACGTCTGAAAGTCAGCAATTGCCCCCTTTTGCTCTGCTGTGAGAGAAGACTGACAGACAAACCCGCCCACCAGGTCACATCTGCACGTGCGCGGTTAGCAATAGCAACCTGTCGTTGGGTTAGCAATTTTGTCACTTTATTTAGTAACCTCAAACAAAAGAATCTGTATCGGACAAAATTAGAACCAACAGGTCAGGCTTTTTGAAGACAGGTGATCGACCAGAAAACTGCAATCGGTGTACACCTGGTTATAACTGCAGTAAAGGACAAAGTAGTAAAGTTGGAAAAACAAAACATTGAAAACTACCTATCATGATACTTCAGAATTTTCCAGTACTTGTGTTGGTCCTGTTAAATAAAATCTCAATGAAATGCATATAACTTTTTGTGTGCAATACGGTAAAAGTAAAAAAAAAAAAAAAAAGTTCAAGGGGTGTAAATACTTTTGCAAGGTGTAGTCCAGGAGTTTGACAAGTTGTGCTCCTCCTTCTTTTTATGTGTAAGGAATCTGAAGCTACATAAATAAAAAAAAAAAAAAAAAAAAAAAAAAAAACACACACATGGGGTGACTGAGGCCGAGTGTTGCTGCTCTAAGATTTATGTTTGTTTTCAGTTTTTCATGAACTGGTGAAGTGGTTTTCCACTCCAAGTGTACCTGGATGTGTGTTTCCTGCCCAACCCGCCGATGCTCTCACCTGCTGTGTGATAATGAGTTAAACCCTCAGTAGATGCTAGCAAAGGTCTTTCATCTGCCTGTTTGTGCTCACGCGGTCCAGCAGCGTGTGAGGGGAACTAACCCTCTGGAAAACTCTTGAGCCTATTTCAAGCTCCTTTCCGTAAATCAAAAACACTCCCAAGTTTTCTTTGGCGTCCTGTTGATAAACTTCTTGCACCCATCTGATTACACAAACTGGCCAGAGGACCACCTACATGAGAGCGTGGTGTAACCATTAACTTCTAGTCAGTGGGGGTTAGATCTTGATCTTTCAATGGATTCACTGTTTTACTCAACTTTTCCATCTCTGCAGTGACACTAACACACAGCTCTTTATTGAAATTAGAGAGTGCTTCACAGAATAATTCACACTCCTTGAACTTTGGGGATTTTATGTGATAGACCAACAGCAAGCAGTCCATAAGTGCAAAAAGAAAAACAACTCACCATTCCAGGACAACCGTTTATCCATCTGCTGGCTCTCCGTAGCACAGCAGAGAGCAATCAGGATGGTGTGAGCAGGTCGTACACAAGGGTGTTTGACAGAGCTAAGACCCTCCTCTTGGGTCTGGTTGGTTCTTTCTGACAGGGCAGTCTGTTTGTTCAGATGACAACAGCACCACAGGGAATCAGCAAAAGGGCTCAATTTTTTTCACAGATTATCTGTCTTATGCTGTCCTGATATAATGATAATGTGAAAAATGAGTTTTATTAATAGAATTTACTTAAATATAATATTTATCAACATGATTTAGACTTTCAATTTGCAAAGCTTTTCAGTTGGGTTCTTCTTTCTATTGCTCTGTCACATAATAAAAAGTTCAATTATCAATCATTTTGCAAGTCACTGATTAGATGTGCTGTCCTTGACTCTGGAATGGTGGTGGACATCTCAGTTTTGTTTATGTGCACCGCTGCTGTTTACTCCAGTGATTCAGAGCCTGGAAATCTGCAGCTGTGCAGAGCACTAACTCAGGAATTTGAATGTGTTACTTTTCCAGTTTGCACAAATTGTTCTTGAATCTCACTGCAGCTGAAAGACTGACTAAATGTTGCAAGTCAAATCATGTAAAAGAAAGGTGCTGTTGTCCTCTAAAGCCGAGTTAAATAAGGGAGGGGATGTTAGTCTGCTCTCACGACCCAATGCATTATATCTTTAAGATTCTTTAACAAATCAGAAAAGAATAAGCTTATCTCCAGCACAGTGTCCCGAATGTAAGCAGGGAGAAGTTAATCTCCAGCAGTTATTTCCTTACGGGTCACACCCATGTTTGCTCGTCCTCCGCTTCTCTGTATCGTTCTTGAATCAAGCTTGCAAAGCGAGCAGCGAGCAGCGAGCTATGACGTCGACTGCACAGCTTGTATTCCAAAGAAGGCTATGATGTCATCCTCGCACGGACTGTGGGAATCGGTTACTGGAGGACAACAAAACACGGCTCCCGACAGGGGATAGTAAATATATTACAGCACACTCGAGTCCCCCGGAGTTCAGTTGGCAGAGCTGAAATTGGACCGGGCTCAAGCTGGAAGAGCCGTGCGTGCACGCACTCACACACAAAGGAGGCCAGCTGCATCGTGGGAGCGGGGACACCACCTCACAGACCTCCGCTTAGCTGCTGCATGACCCGAGTGGGAACCAAGGAGGGAGCAAGTTTTATCGTCTTCTTCTTAGCTTAGCTTTGTTTGTGTTTTTAACTTGTCTTGAGACAGAACTGTCTGGGCAAAACTGCTCTTGGAAAGACCCTACTTAATGGAATCCCTTTTTCCTCTTTGTCAACAATGCTGGCATGCCAGCATCCTATTACCGTTAGTCATTCATTGTTTGTGTTGGGGATTTACTGTAAAGTGTATTGCGTGCTAAGGTAACAGCTGATTTGACGCAAAGACAAACACCATTAGTCATCCATTCACCTATTGTTGCCCTAGTCAGGGTTTGACCTGACTTCATCTCTCATTTTAGCTCTTGGTCCAGTGTGTTGAATTTTTCCTGGAGTTGCAGAGCCCTGATCTATCGCATGAAACCCCAATAAAATACATCGAAGCTCATGGTTGCAACGTGAGGTGCGAAAAAGTCAAGAAAAATAGAACAAATACTTGTTTACAAAGCCCTAAGAGATTGCATGATGCAATAGCACATTGACTCTGCATTCATGCAGAGGAGAAGAAGTGCACTAAGAGCAGAGGCTGGCCCTGAATCATCCATTTGGACTCTGTACAGGTAGTTGTTTCTGCTCCTCACAGTCTCCATGAAGCCTACAGAGCACAGCAGCCTGCTGGCAGTGGAAGAATTGATGAGGCCAGGAGGAGACTGCGCCTTCCATCTGGGTCTGACAGGGAAGGCTGGAATGGCCTCAGCCTGAACAGCCTGCCTCTCTTTACAGTCATGCAGACAACAGCCCCCACACTAGGTAGCCTGATGAGAGCAGCTATGTGGGCCAGCAAGGCCCAGCTACTCCATCTTACACTGTTGTTTTAAAAGACTCCCACACATTCAGAGGAAAGAGACATGTAGCCTACTGTAAACTCCTGCCCTGTGCATGTGCATTTCCCACAAGAGGAAGTCCGGCCTGGTGTCTGTTTTGGTGCTGAAATCTGTTTTACTGCTTGTAAGTAGTTTATCATGTTGGGTAAAGATAAACACTGTTTTCTTTTGTCGTTTATTATGCCTGTGATAAAAATGACATTTCTTCACTGTTTGAACTTTGACACCGCTTCTGCTGTACTTCTGCTGTAGCACTGAGCTTCAGATCTAAGGAGGAGATTAAAAACACGATTACAGCAAAAAAAAAAAAAAAAACACAAAACTGAACAAACGCCATGAAACGCATTAAAACAGAGAATGCTCCTCGATTTAAAAATGAATAAAACTCCGCACAAACTGAGATACAAGAAGCTAATTTTTAAACACAGGTGCAAAACAGAGCCCAACATTTCAGAAAACTGCAAATGTAACACGGTAAACATAATCAAAATCTTGCTGTGTTTTTAGCTCAATTGCAAAAAAACAACTACTTTTTATATTATGCATTCATCTTAAACATTTTTAGTTTTTTGTTGTTTTTTTGTCACAAATACGTATTAAAAATAAAAGGTAAGAACAAGAAAGTGTGTAACTAGAGAACACGAAATCAAAATCCCACAGATAATGAAAGTTAAATATGGTAATAACTGAGGCAGATTTACAGAGTTTCTGTGAAATCTGGAGAACTCAAAGGGGAAAAAAATACAATTTTATCTATGCAGTGTTATTTAGTTATTTGTTCTTTCTTTTTCTTTGGAAAAAGAAAACAGACTACAGAAAATGTCTTAACTTTCCATCCAATCTTCCATACTGAATACTTACTTTAAATTTTTAATGAACCTTTGCATTTATATTTTAAAATGTTCTTGAAAATGACAGAGATCCCCAAAAATGACCATGGAAAAATACAGAATTTGAGATGAAAATGTGGTGAAAAGAAGATTTGGATAACTGAGTTCATGTTCCTCTTACATTGCTCTTAGCAAACTCGCCCTGAGCTCCAATCAGTTGAAACTGTCCAAAAGCTTCGGCGCCACATTCGCATGTGAGAACCAGCGTCACTTAGACTTGCTACTGCCGATTAAGGTGGACCAAAGTAATGCGACTGCATTTTCCCCTCTTTCAGCTGTCATCCCTCTGACCGACTCTGAGCACAAGCTGCTGGCACTCCATTTTGCTGTGGATCCTGGTGTGGGCTGGGAGTGGGGAAGGGACGACAATGACAACACCAAGCTAGCCAGGTAAGCCTGAAACATCACCAGGTGATATGTATCAGCAAAGCACACATCCATCGACCTCCTTGCATGTTACATGTTGGGATTTAACTGTGACTATTGGCTCTGGCTTTGGGTCACTTCAAAAAGAAAAAAAAAAGATCGAAAGATTTCAGGCAGGCGTCGCATTTGTCCAGAAGTGGCCTCTGGAAATCTGCAACACCTTCACTGAGTTTTGAAAGGTTTATTTAAGGGGTTTTATTTTATATTCTTTAAGATTTTATTGTGCCAAAAAAACTGACACTATGACACACAGAAAAAATGCTTTGTCCATCTCTGAGTGCATCCTTCATGGATTTCCTTTAGAGGACTGCAGATATCATTCATACAGCTTAACTTATGTAATCCTTCTGCATGCTTCCAATTGATACGTTACTGATATCTTTGTCAGATGTAATTGTGTTTTCTTCTTTTAAAAAGTGTATTTATATTGTTCTGCAGTCTGATCTTATCCCTGGAGGCCAAACTCAACCTGCTGCACAACTACATGAATGTAACATGGATCCGAATTCCCTCTGAAACAAGGGTAATTTTTTTTTTTTTTCTCAGCTGTCACATGTGTGTCGTATTTGTCATGGTTAATTTACCTTTATAGAGACTCCCTTGTTCCAGATGTTTCTGAAACCTCTTGGTTCCCGTCAGTTAGTCCTATTTTGTGTCAGAATGCGATGATCTCTCACATTTGTGGTTATGAGTCCTGGAAAACCAGAAAATTGTTTGTTTCCCAACAGTTTTTTTTTTTTTTTGACAATTTCTGCTTTAGATCTTTCTAGTTCTTGCTTAGATTACCTTGTGAAGAGATCAATACCGCTTGGATTATTTTGCTTGTGCTATGTTAGGCTTTTGAGTGAAAATCCTTCATGAATACATGGTTTTTAACAGTGTGGCATGCATACAACTTCATACAACTTCAGTCTCTTTTACTCTGATCCCCTAAATAAAACCCAGTACCAACATTTTCGTTCAAAAGTCACCTTGTCCACCTTTGTGTAATCTCGATATAAATCCAGATGATCAGTGAAAGCCCCACTGTGTTAAGACAATAGAAAACAAAAAGCATCATGAACACCAAGGGACAGAGCAGACAGGGCCGAGATAAGGTTATGGAGACATTTAAAGCATGGTAAGGCTATAAAATAATATGCAAAGCTTTGAAAAGAAAGTGTATATCTCAACTTCAAATCTACCAATATATATCCACCTAAAATGTCAGAAAAGCTGCCCTAAAGAGGCCAGTGGTAACTCTGAGGGAGCTACAGAGATTCATGACTTGGGTGTGCAGTAATCTATCAACAGGACAGTTATTGGTTGTACACGTTACAAATCTGGATTTTGGCACAAAGAATGTCACTGTTGAGAGAAAGTCATAAAAAGTCTCACTTAAAAATTTTCCACGCAGGAGACACAGCAAACAGCTCTAGTGGGGTGAAACCAAAGCTTAACTTTATGGCTACAAAAACACCACGTATAACAGAAAACAAACACTGCACATCTACATGAACACACCATTCCACCACTGGTGAACAATGACGGTGGCAGCGTTACATTGAGGGCATGCTTTTCTTCAGAAGGGATACAAAGCTGGAAAAGCATTGATGAGAAGAAGATTGTGTGGAGCTAAACACAGTGTAATCCTAGCAGAATACCTGGTAGACTAAATACATAGGCACTACAAACTTTTTTCTTTTTTTCTGGGGAAACGTTTTGTTTTTAATCCTGTTTTTTTTTTTTTTTTTTTTTTTTTTTTTTTTTTTTTTACAATAATTCTTTTTTTTTTTTTGCCTGTTCCCTA